ACCCACCCGTTCGCCTGGCTGTTCCCCTGCCCGTTCGCCCACCCGTTCTCCCGACCGTTCGTTTGCCCGCCTGCCCGACCATCTCTTCGTCAATACGCCCGTCTGCCCGCCCATTCGTCTTCCCCCATTGTCCGTTTACCCACCCGTCCGTTCCACGTTCGAACCTTTGTTCGTCCACCTGCTAGCCCTTCAGGGCACTCATCCGTCTACCCTCACACCTGCACTTCCAGGGATCTCTTCTGCCTTCCCACCATATCTCCCGCCAGTCACTGACTGCCCGCCCATCTGTTTGTTCACTGTCTCCACCCAAAGTTGGCCGGTAGCAACGTTGCTACGTCCACAGAGTTAGGGTTGGGTTCGTTGTCTTTCCACGCATTAAAGTCACAGACTGAAATTGTTTTTCGTAATGGTAATATTGCGTATCAAGCTGACGTAGCACGCAGTTATTTTCAACGATGTTTTCATTGGATTTTCGAGTCACACCGCTTCAGTATGCACCCGAAGAATGTGTATATATATATATATATATATATATATATATATATATATATATATATATATAATACAATATCATTATACAAGGTAAGCGCTTGGACGATTTCAATCCAAAGGGAATTTTAGAAAGTTATTCGCCGCCTCCTTTGTGTCAAGCAGTATATGTTGTCTTACACGAGACTTCAGCAACGGTACTCGTTATTTTCAAACGCTAATAAGATTTCCGCCAGGAAGTCAGACGTTGTGCGGAACTGTTATGAACGACAACCGCGGGCGTTGAGAGCGGCTGACCCCGAAAGGAGAGCGTTGTTACATGCAATGACGGAAGGCTGTTTGCAAATCGGATATCCGCTGTAATAATATTGTCGTTGAAATGACTTATTAATGTAGAAACATAATTATTGAACGTAGAAAATCAGTACAGAATTAAAACGTATCATTAAGGCAGACAATCAGTTGGGTCTGATCAGACAATCAGTTGGGTCTGATTCCGTTGAATTAAAAACATATTTCAAGTTGAATCAATAGAATAATTCACCCACTAGAGCAATTAGATTCCATACTGATTCGAATAACCCTTGGGTAACGTAAGGAGGGAAGCAAATTGAGCGTATTATTAGTGATACAAAATGTGTTTTAGAGATCGGGATTTAGTGAAAATAAAACAACATAATTCAAGGTCCAATGTTTCAGAAGTTTACATTTTCATTAAATGTGTAAATTAATTTAAGATTCAAAGTAAAAGAGGCAGTAGAAGGAGGTATTATGACAATGGGGTTACGGAAATGGAGGTGTTTCCAACAAAGGAAAGCATTGAGACTAATACTTTGTAAATGTATACCCAAAACACAGAAAAAAGATTGGGGTTGGGAAGGACGTTCATTATAGATTTTGAAATGAGCTCTAACTTTGAAATTGTTTATAGTGGCAACCTGATACGCCAGGGTGAAAAAGTGGCGTAA